CATGTGTACCACTCCACAGCTCCCATCCTAAAGCTAGTCCCTTATCTGATGTCTTAAAGATGATGAAATAACCCTGATAATAGATGTCTTTCTGACAGGCTAGATCCCCTGGCTGTTATTACATATCTTGAGAGAAACTGAGGATTGGCAATGTAATCCTCTAAAGAAACAAAAAGAATTTTCTGTTCCTCAGTCAGATTAGTGGTTACCATTGCCCAAATTTACAGTGGCTGGTTAGAGGGTACATATGTAGACAGTTAACCACTCAGGCTGCGGGTAGAGGGGAAGGACCAAATTCATTCTAGACCATTATTTCCCCATATCTCTGCCTCTGTTTCCATAAGGATTTTCATTATATAGCTTTGTTTTATGTGAAGGTATGGCATTCAGACTTTCAACTCTACTGAAATCAATTATAAATACCTTCTTTATATTATGCATTTCACTGTTATACAGGGATTCTCAAACTGGGGGTTAGGACCTCTGAGGGGGTCACAAGGTTATTACATGGGGGAGCTGTCAACCTCCACCACAAACCCCGCTTTTCCTCCACTATTTATAATGGTGTTTTATATATATATAAAAAAAGTGTTTTTAATTTATAAGGGGGGGGTCGCACTCAGAGGCTTGCTATGTGAAAGGGGTCACCAGTACAAAAGTTTGAGAATCACTGCTGTAATTAAAATGTGTGAACAACTTTGGGCGGGGATATAATATCAAATTTTCTGAGTCTGAAAGTAGAAAAGCAGTCCCCCTGAACAACTGTTAAAGCAGCTAACTTACTCAAAAATACTAACAGACTGGTTATGGAACCATTATGGCTCATTGGGTAGCCATAAGCTAAAAAAATATAAGGATGTTCTACTATAAAGCAGTCTTTGCTCAGACAAAAAATGAGCAGTATGTGTCCGTTACAGAGAAGCAGGTGATACAGAGAAAAGAGGGTAGCATCCATTGTGGAGTTCTCTAAATTTGTACAACTAAAAAACTTTTTCCTACTTACAAATCATGGGCAGAATCTATTTCCCCTGTAACTCAACTGAAATCACTGCAGTTACACTAGCATGAATTTGGCCCATTCTCTTTTTAGTTTATACAGAAAACCATTTTCCATTTGGGTTAAAAAAAGTGAACTCCAATGGGCAATAGTGACCATCGGCCTGCTGCCTCAGAGATTATACTAGACCTGCCACAATTACCACTTGAAGCAGAAGTATGCCACATATCTTCCACTTCATTACCCTAACCATGTCTCCTCCCAGCTTCTCTTGTCCTCTGTTGCTTATTCAGGCTATTCTCAGCCATCTGTTTCTTGCCCTTATTTCATGATCAGATGGGAATTGAGCATGAATTCAGAGACTAGTCCTTGTTTTGTTTAGTACTCTGGCCTTGTGTTTCCAGGTGAGTGGAGTGCTCTACTGGTTTGCAGATGTGCAGCACTCGGGTACCACCAAAAGAACTAGAGAGAGATAAGGAATGAGGAGAGATGAGCAAGCAAATTCAGTGAGATCAAGGCATAAAAGAAGGAAAGGAGGAAAGGAGGAGTGACAGGATCCTTTTCTTTCTCTCTAGTTTTCTCCAGCCAGGCTCTTGCCTTCCATGACAATTATTACCACCATATAAACTTTACATTCACTTGAGTATGAAATTCATTTGGTACGATCTAAATAACACAAAGCTCAGCTGCTGTGCCCTGCTATCTATCTTTCAGATGCAAATATCTTAGCTATCACAAAACATTTTGTTTTCAAAAAAAGAAAGAAAAAAAAAGACATTCATATTAAGCATTAGCAGTCTGCAAAACTCATTCATTTTAAATGACATTATCAGCAAGTTTTGCTCTAGTGCTTGGCAAACCATTGATAGTTCTGTATCTCACAAATGACTGATTAAATGAAAATTATTTTTATACAAATAAATTTGCATCTGGGCTGTTATTTCTATAGCATCAAAATTCATTAGAGTGGGCTGAAACCACCACCTGTTTTTGGATTCCAACAGCCCCCATTGTGAAGCTTTGCCAACTTTGTGATGTATTTGTAGCACGGCCGCACCGACTGTGCTACAAATCGCTGTGGATATTAAGGATGTGTCTAACTTCTGCTCTATGGGGTCTAAATCTGGCCCCATTAAAAGCAATGGGAGGTTTGCCATTGACTTCATCGGGGCTAGGTTTCACCCTTGGTGTCTATTTGTGTACCCCTGAGAGTAGACAGGAATGTGTGGCAGTGGGCATGTGGCCCAATAGAATAGAGAACAGGAAAAACACATATGGGCATCTTCTATGGATTACCCAGAGTGGGAACTGAACATCCCTGAGCTAATCTTCAGGGTATCCTAAATTGTAAGCTGCTGTGGGGGAATTTTATCTGTTCAGATTTCAGCTGGGCTACATTGAAAAACTCCTTAGTTATTCACAAGACAACTTTATGACTCAGAAAGAACATATACAAGTAGATGAGAAGCCATCTTGGATTTTCTATTCACTGGTAAGGAGAACTAATAGAGAAAGTGAGAATAATGGGAAGCTTGGAACCGTGAGCTACTTGAATTCTGCATAGTAAGGAATGGGATCACTGACTATAGCAATTCATAGATATTATATTTCAAGAAAGCAATTTTTGGGAAATGAAGAAATCTAGCAAATAAGATGCAATGGGAAGATACTAAAAATTCACCAACTACAATAATACAAAAGGACCAAGAGAAATTAGAAACATTAACAGAAAACACCAAAGTTACATTCTCATTAATAAAAAGCAGCTGGAATACGGTGTCCAGTTTTGAGCACTGCTCTTTAAGAAAGATGTGAACAAACTTGAGAGAGTCCAGAGGAGAGCAACATAAATGATAAGAGGTTAAGAAAACATGACCTATGATGAAATGTTGAAATAGCTGACCATGCTTAGAGAAAACTGAGGGGGGACATGATAACAATCTTCACATATGTAACAGGCTGTCATAAAGAGGACAGTGATCAATTGTTCTCCATCTCCAGTAGAGGTAAGACAAAAAGTAATTGGTTTAGTTTCAATAAGGATTTCTAACAATAAGGATAATTAAGCTGGAACGATTTACCTAGAGAGGTTGTGGAATCCTCATCACTGAAGATTTGTAAGAACAGGTTAGACAAAGACCTGTCAAGAATGGTCTAGTTATATTTAATCCTACCTCAGTAGGAGGGGATGGACTAGATACTTCTTGAGGTCCCTTCTGGCCCTACATTTCTAAAATTCTTCAATCTGAAAAATACTTACTCAGTGGGAAGGAAAAAGTCTGCTGACCTAAGAATGACAATGAGCAACAATGAGTTTGCAGTTGAATAGTCTGCAAAAATGTCAAAGCAAATTTTGGTATTAATGTGCAGATACATCCCTGCCCTGTGATTCAATGTAATAATTTCTTTCTTTACAAATCGGCAAATTATAAGTGATCAAGGACTAGAGGAACTGTCCTAGAAGGAAAAAATTAAAAGCTAATTATACAGAGCTTGGATGAATAATGATTAGGAAGTTACCTGTCACTAGTTTACAAATGTCTAAATAAAGTAAATACTGAGGGTAAAGATACATGATTATGAGTAGTGGAAAGGGAAAATTTTGACTGAATGCCAGTGAGATATATCAAATTTGTGGAACAGTTTTCCAAGGGAAGTGGTAGAAACCTTACCACTTGAAGCTCTGGTAACACTGGTAAACCATCCTGCATTGACAGGGAGATGGACTGGATATTCTAATTTGTCTATTCCATCTCTTGCTTTTATAATTTTATGAAGTATAGACAATTATTTTGGGGCATTCATTAACATCAATATTTTTTCATAGTACAATGTAAATGTCCAACTCATTGTTATTAGCTTTCAGAAAGCAGAGAATGCTTTAACTAGTGACTAAATTGATCAAATAATAATTTGTTTGGCAGAAGTGTTTTATCTGAATCTCTGAATCCTCATGATGTCAAATGTTGCCTACGGCACAAACCAGGCTCCACTATTCCTGTCTGTCCTGGGTCACTCTTTGCATGACCTCTTTATTGTTAAGTACCATAAATTTTCCCTCTCTAAGGGCTAGCCTACACTGGGGGTGGCGGGGGGGGGGGAATCTATCTAAGATACGCAACTTCAGCTACGAGAATAGCGTAGCCGAAATCGATGTCTCTTAGATCAACTTACCTCCCATCCTCATGGCGTGGGATTGATGGCCGCAGCTCCCCTGTTGTCTCCGCTTCCGTCTCTTGCCCTGGTGGAGTTCCAAAGTCGATGGGAGCGCGTTCGGGGATCGATTTATCGCATCTAGATGAGACGCGATAAATCGATTCCTGATTGATTGCTACCCACCGATCTGGCGGGTAGTGAAGATGTACCCTAAGTACTGCTCAGTGGAGAGATTCTTTTGGTCAGTTCCTTTTATTTGTTCCTCCAGCTGCCCAATGTGGCACATCTGCCATGGCAGACATTCTGACTTCATTCTTAATGTGTATCTCAGATATTTCAATCTTCTTTTCTGGATAAATTTTAGAGATAAAAAGTTGAACTCTGATAAATCTCAGCATTTCTTATAAATTCATTCAATTTAAGACATAGTATTTTAATGTGGTGTTTGCTTTTGAAAGCATTTAGACATATATCTATCTTTGGTGGATTTTCAGCTTTCACATCCATATATTAAAGTGGAAATAACATTTGAGTTGAAGTTTCATAGTTTGGTTTTTAAGTTGTAGATTTTTGATGATCACATTTTGTTAAAGTTGGTGGATGCAGTTACAACATTATTTGTAAAATTATTTTATTATGAATATCCCCACTGGTATGCATGTTAGTGCCAGAGTATGTGAATTGACACACCTCCTATATTTCTTTGCCTTCTAACCTAAAGTCTGAGTTATGAGTTACTGGAGTTTTCATTAGCTTGCTTTTTTTTCCATAACTACTTACGAAGCCTGTATTTTGTGCAATGCTAAACAGTCTTTCAGTCTTTGCTTGCGTGTTGTTTGAGTTGTCATTTAGAAGAGCTATGTCGTCAGCAAAATCAAAAGCTTCTAGTATGTTAAACTATGTGATGCTTGTGTTGTATTCATCTACACTCATAACGAAGTAAATATCAATGCCCAACAGGAGGGGTGAGAGAATGCATCCTTGTTTGATACCAGTATTATATTAAACCATTCATTCTAGTCTGTGTTCACTTTATATCAAGGTGCAGTTTGTACAATTAAAGCTTTGGTAAAGTTAATTATTTACTGGAATACGATAACACGTCAAGATGTTCCGGTGAATCATGATGAATCTACAGTCTTTCACAGTTCTGATTTTGGGAACCAATGCCCATTGCTTTCTCCACTCCATTGTTGTCATCCCCAACTTTGGCGATGAATCCCCCAATTACTAAGAAAACGTCATGCTTGGGAATATTGTCAACCAGAGTTTGTAGGCAATTGTAGAACTGATCTTTGATCTCGTCACCAGAGTTGTCTATTGGTGCAAAACACTGTATGTATTATGTATTCATGTATTATGTTTAAAACCTAGCTTGGAGCAGTTGGCTGTTAATTGGCCCTCAGTCGAAGTGTTTTTTCAGCTTTGGAAATCATAATTAATACTACTCCGTCTCGGTGGTAACCATTTTGCCTCCTCAAATATGTTATGACTTTACTGCATTTATGAATATCTTTTTATCAATTCCTGTCCCACTGACTTCTGCTTACTCCAAGGATTTCAAGATTATATTAATCCATTTCTTTCATCTCCTGCAAAGCTTTTGTCATTGCAGCCATTGTTCTAGTGTTCCAGAAACCTGCTTTTACAGTTTGTTTTACCTTTAGCAAAGATCTTCTCAGCCTTGACCTGATTGCTTGCACAAAGATTCATCATTCCTGCTGAGACAGAGTCCATTACTTTGGCATGCTGTTTCTCAGAAGGGCTAACTTGTTGTGTTTCTATAACTTCTTTGAAAAATGACAATAGTCATAGTTCTCAGGGTCTTCGAAGCACATGAACATTCCCACCATATCAATGTGCAGTCCCCATGGAAAAACATGCTTGATACATGATATTTTGCTGGGTTTTAGTCATTAATAACTGCAGTGAATGTGTGTTGCTGTCTTGGCATAAATTCTTTCTCAGCATCGATGTTTTAAATCCCAGATTTGAGGTCCAATTCTGATTTCATTTAGACCTCTGTAAATCAGGAGTGATTCTACTAGTGCTACTGGTGTTAAGTAAGAGTAGAAACTCCCCTTAATATCTGGTTGAAAAAAAAAGTTAGAAGTTTACGGGATGAAATCAAATTCTGTTGTTTCTCCCCAAGAAACAGAGGATGTTCCCAGCCTCACTCTATAGGGGTATTTGTTTTACCATTTGTTGTCTTTCTTGCATTACTTGACACATTCTGAGTGGAGACAGCCACATCTCTTCCAGGATCAATGGCATAATAAATGGCATACATTATCCTGTAGGTTCAATGAAAACATATTAGAGATAGCTCTGCAGATACCAATTCTGTAGGCTGCAAACTAATCAGGGTTTCTAAGTTACATACTAAAAATAAAAAGGAGACTATAGGTAACCTTAGTTTACTTTGTTTCAGCCTGAAGGTCAAGGTATACCACTTTTTATTTCCTATAGGTAATTTTACTCAGTAAACTTAATTCACAAGTTTTTAAAGCCAAATTCTGCCCTCAGATGAATTCATCTGACTTCCGTTGAAGTCAATTAATGTTATGTGTGTAGTTGAGAACAGAATTTGGCCCTCTTTGAGGTCCATTTGGTATGCTTTAGGCCAGGGGTTTCACAAGAAATTTTTTGGTGGCCTCAGAGTGCAGCCACCAACTCTTGCTGGTGGCCGCTCTGACAATTTTTCCTAAAATACTTAATTAACTTTAGGGAAAACAAATAAATATGCACATATACATGTCCAAATCATTGTAATTTATTAATGTAGGTTTTTATTGCAAACTCAATAATAAAAATAATGTACAGTTGTCTCTATTGTTTATTGGACCTAAACAGAATAGAAACAAATAATGTGCTTTGCATGTTCTTGTCTTTTTTGTTGTTGTTTCTTTTGCTTTTTGAGACTTGATAGCTAGTAAGTTTCTGTCAAAAGTGTTATTTTTTGCTGGGTTTTAGTCATTAATAACGGCAGTGAATGTGTGTCGCTGTCTTGGCATAAATTCTCTCAGCATCAATGTTTTAAATCCCAGATTTGAGGTCCAATTCTGATTTCATTTAGACTTCTGTAAACCAGGAGTTATTCTACTAGTGCTACTGGTGTCAACTATACTAGTCAACTCTGCTTTGCTTCTCCCCGCCCTCCACCCCTTCCCAACACGGCCCAGAAGGCTGTGGCCACATGAAAAGCCCCTGGTGCCCTCAGGTGGCCACGGTGGCCTCATTTGAGAAACACTGCTTCTAAGCATTGATAATCTTTGCCCGTATCATTCCTTTGTGCATTATCTAAGATTCTTACTTCTACTGTATTTATAAAGATTATGGATGCATCATCATCTATCTTTCCTGAAATCTGAATGACAGTCAATAGCACTTGTACAATAAACTAGCAGGAAACCAAGACAATCTATTATCAAATTTTCCATGGTGATAGAAAATTTTAGAGCTAATTGGGATCAAGCTCACAACACTGAGGCTTGCATACAATTAGTTGGACTTGGTCTATGATCATCAATTTAGTGAGTAGATAGTTATGCATGTGTAAAAATAGTGCATATGTAGTATATCAGTCTTGATTCAGAAGATTCAGTGTATGTTACAGGCTGTGTGCCATGGATGAGCTGGTAGAACTGATCAAGCAGTGTAATTAGGAGAAACCTGGAGGGATAAAGCCTTATCTTGCCTTTGAGATGAGAGAATTTACAATGCAGCCCATCCATGCTGTGAGATTTTCTGCTTTTGATGTGAATGATAAAGTGATCTAATGATGGCTGTTGTTATGGAACCTGCTAGCAAGTGAATGTCCAAACAAGTGTCAGATTGGATGAAAGGTTTTCTTGTCTGGAGTATTTATCTTCTGTTTTGCCTCTGTGCAATTTATGCTTTCAGCTTTTGTATTGTAACTAGTTGATTCTGTTCTAAAACTCAATAAACTGTTTCAGCATGGCAGGATGTTAACATGAGCAATGCAAAATATTCTAGGAATCCCAGTTTAGGAAGAAGTAGTTACTGAATATAGTTAGGGGTAAATGCAGGTATAATTGCTGATAAAATTTAAACAGGAAGGCATGTCATTGCAAAAGGCCTTGTTTTAAAAAAGTGAAACAGGTGCTAGTAGCTTATATACAGATGGAAATGTTTAGTGTAAGCACTGTTTTGCTCAAGTCTTATATAATAAAGTGGAAATGCATTAATCTTGAAGTAGTGGCAACTTTGGGTAAGTATAATGGTGATCACTGTAGATGCTTTAGAGAGTTGTGTTGATGATGCAGTAGGTGACAGTTTCCCCTCTGAGTACATACTAAACCAACTCCTCAGCACAGTCTTTGTGTAGCTGAAAGTGCAGTCTCATTTAAATGACCAAAAATCATGGTTCTAATAGTATGGTGCCATAAACAGCCCACGAAAACTCTTAATAGAAAATGATGTTAACATCTGTGCTCTCAAATTCCTTCTCTTTGTGCTTCCCTAAATTTTTCACTTCTTTTCAGCTGAAAAAGTAGTTTGCACTCCTGTTCTCAGAGGCTGCATTGTGTTGCTGTCTCCTGTTAAACAGCTGTCACATTTCAGCCCAGCGTTGGCTGCATTTCAGTTGAGAATAAAGTTATTCTTGTGTAGATTTTTTATAAAATGTTTTAAAACACATTGAGATCCTTGGAAATGAAAAGGTCTATATAAATGTACAACTATTATCATCATCCTGCTGGCTGCTAGGTTGTTTTCTTTTGTAAATACATACCCAGGGACAGAGTGGCAGTCAAGCCATGTAGGGAGTAGTATTTTGAGGCTTTTGTTTCCATGCACTGTGCTGTAGCGAGCAACACGCGTGTTTGTACATTTCCCTAAGTTTGTGCACAGAGCTGCCCCCCTGGCTGGAGGCACAACCACCTCTTTATTACCCTACAGAGCTGTTACTCCCACCTTCTCTGATCAACTGTCACATTCCAACTGCCACAGAACCTTTGCATTCCAACATTCCATCTAGTTCTCACAAGGCTCAGTGATGACTGAACTGGGTGAGATGCTGAACAAAAAGAGCTCTCAGCCATGCTTGTAGCAGTTTCCCTCATTTCACACTGACTCAGAAGACATTTTAGGCTTCCGAGTGACACAGAGTGACTGTGGTGGGCCTGGCACCTCACTGCCCCTTTGGGGCGGCGGGGGGACAGGGAGGGGATGGGGTATCAGAACCTCGCCACTCCGAAGTTCATGTGCTCGCCTCTCTGTGGGTGGCCTGATGTGGCCTAATAGCCTCCCTCCACACGATCATCCCTTAGTCGGCGTAGTGTGCCCTAATGGCCAGAGTCCATATAAATCACTCCCAGCATCCGAGCAGTGCGGCCCAGTGGCTAGAGTCCATATATCCCCCCTTGCAGGCGGGATAGTGTGGCCTAGCGACTGGAGTCTGTGTAACTCACCACAAATGTCCAGGCAGTGTGGCCCAATGGCCAGGGTCCATATAAATCGCTCCCAGCGTTGGAGCAATGCAGCCCAATGGCCAGAGTCCATATGACCAGGGGAGGGGTGGGTGGCTAGGTGGCTGGGAGGGGCATGGGGACCCAGTCCTGCTCTCTCCACTGGGTCCCAACCCAGGGGCCTGGTAGTAGCAAGTTCCCCTTGCCACCGGCTCGGCGGGGATCCGCCCAAAACACGCTGAGCCTCTGTGTGGCTCCAACGCTGTTTTCCTCTAAAGTTCCCTTGGGTCACTTCCTACCATAACCTCTGGGTCCTCTGGTCTGTTCCACTTCTGTGACTTACTCCATCTGGGCATGGGGGCGCATCCCAGCTTGGCTATCTTCAGGATCCTGGAGCGCAGGCTGTCCCTCATCAGGAGCTGGCAGCATGCCTCCTTCCCCTCCGGCGGTCAGCCCAGACTGAGCAGCTCTGCAGGCTTTTATACCTGTTCTCCAGTTGGCGCATGCCCAGCAGAGCCTCAAGGGCATGGCTTCCTCTGCTAGGAAGGAAGGGTTAACCCTTGTGATACCAGTACGGGGCTGCTCTGCCCCGTCACAGTGACATTCCTGGAATCTTACTATATAGATAGTAACAATAATAGAAAAGGGGGACAGGGAGTCAGAGTAAAATGCAGAGGAAATGGCAACTGGTAACAGAAACACCCCTACAACTGGCACTACATGAAAATTATCAACATTTCATTTCTGGCACTTGCACAAGAACTGAATCACCATCACCATCCCACAGTACATGGAGACTGCCTCAGGAAATGAGAAGGGCTGTCTCTCTGACAATAGCTTCATTGGGGAAATAATGTCTTCAGGATAAAAGGAAATATTTCTGTACACACAGCTTACTAAATAAAGGAGAAATCTGGAGTATATTTATTCATTAGATTCTGCTATGTCAAGATTTTGACTGATGAAAATTAAAATAATGGTTTTGATTATTATTGAGTACTATAAAATGGTCCATATGAAGGGAGAAATTTGATTGGCTAACAAAGGTTGAGACATCTGGTATAACCATATGGGTTGGGAATCATTAGCTAATTGTTACAAAAATATAACAAAACCATCATTTTATGACAGCACTAAAGTCCTTCAGGAAGTGAAGTCATATTAGCTACCTGCACAACTGAAGTTTCTCAGCCTTCACTGTTATATCTCACATTTCACTGCAAGCATGTGACCAGTGCAGTTATACTGGTTGTCATATTTAGCATTGCACATGTTTTTAAACATTCAAATTAGGGAAAAGTCTATATATCCATTAGCAGAAGTTATTTACAGAATGTTCATTACTATGTGGGCATAGTTGTTGAGAGGCAAATGACTTTCAAACCCTCATTTGAAAGGGTTATTTACTATTTATCAAGACTTGAACTGATACTTTTGGACTCTACTTGCATTGGCATATAATCCGTAGCGGATATGTTCAGGTGCACATTTGCCGGATGGAAAGAGGTTAGCAGTTAGCTAATGAATGAATGAAAAAAATTTGTAAGTGGGTGGGAAGACGAGAGGCAGGATAGTCCAGCTGATAGGATACTGGAGTGGAAATCCAAACACCTGGGCTCTATTCCTAGCCTTGCCAGTGATCTGCCAGTGATCAAGTCACTTCCCGTTTCCCTTTTCACCTTTTGTCTATCTTGTCTGTTTAGATTTTTCTAAAGATCTTACAAGGGGCCCAGCTCCACAAGGAACTTAGGTGCCTAAATCCTAGATGTAGATACTACTGTGATCCACAAAACCCCACTCAGCTGCCACCTAACTTTGTATGCACCTAATTTCTGCCTCTGGGCATGCACACTGCTGCCTCAGGCAGGTGCTTGGACACCTATCTCACACCTAAGCCCCAATGCAACCCTCAACTCCGAAGAGCGTAGCTGGTGGCCCACTTATCTCACCTGTGGGCCCAATCAGGTATGCCTAACTCCACATAAAATGGCTGGAGGCCTCCCATATAAAATTTAGCCCACTGGATAGAGCGCTCACCCAGGATGTGGGAGACGCTTCTTCAATTCCTTTCGCTGACTAAGAAGATATATGAACATTGGTTTCTCACCTCTCGGGAGAGTGCCCTAACCACTGGAATATATGACATTCTGATGAGAGTTTCTGACTCTGTGCTGTTTAAGTTGTTCCGCTTTGTATTAAATAATTATATACATTGGCCAGAAAGTGAGAATGGCTTTATAGCCCTGTGGTTAGGGCACTCACTAGAGATGTGGGAAACCCCCCAAATGCCTTTTCCTCATTATGTAGAAGGGGGAATGAAGCCAGGATCTCCCACCTCTTCACTGGGCTAAAGGTTATATAGGAGGCCACTGCCGCCACCTTCCCACTCGTTTTGTGCATTTTTAGTAGGGCTGTCCCTAGGGGGGAGCAGGGACCAGGACAAATCAGCCCCCACTGGTTTGGGGGCTCTGCTCTGCATCGGCAGCTGGGCAGAGCCCTCGTCATGTGGGACTGGTAGCCAGGACCCCGGTCACGTGGGGCTGGCAACCGGGAACCCAGAGGTGCTGCAGCACTCTCCACACCCCTCATTCCCACATTTATGTCTTCCGGGACCGACCGAACTGGCCAATTGCACCGGCCCACAGGGCCCCCCAAAGCGCGGGACCAGGAGCAGTTGCCCCAATTCGCCCTACCCAAGGGACGGCTCTGGTTGTTAGGCATGCACCACTGCCTTTCTTGCAAGAAACAATTTAGTTGCATAAGGCGCCTGACTCCAGGAAAGGGTTTCCTGATGTGGATCCCAGCCAGAGAATGGCAGGGCTTAGGACAGGCCTCTCTCCTTGCATCTGCTATGGGCTAGCTTTGGTGTCTCCCCGGGCAGGCAGGCGCTCTCTTTCGCTCACTCTCATAGGGAGCCTAACACAGGATTTGTGGAGTCTCCTTGATGGCGAGGTGCCTAAAAGTTAGGCATTGCAATGCTGAGCATTCCAACATCTAAATCCTTTTGTGGATCTGGGCCATGGACTGTCTCTTACTATGTTCTCATTACTGTACATACACAATGAGGCCCTGATCATGATCGGGGCCTTTAGGAATCTACTGTGTACTACTACTAATACAGTTGATGGCTTTTTGCCTAACACTGCCATATTTGGTAAGACATAAGATTAATACTCCATTCTTTTCTGTTGTTCTGATTTGGTCTTTCATTCTGTAAAACTAAAACATTTTCACAATTTATTCAACAAATCTGACTTGTGGCAGACCTTCTTTATTCTATAAATTTACAGAAAAAAGCCTTGGGCTGGATATCATTATTGACATTGAGAATGCCTGCTGTTTCTCAGGTAGCTGTCAGTTCAGCATAAGAAAGATGCTAATTATCCTAAGCGCAGGTCACTTAGTGAGTTAGAAATCTGAAATTGCTAGATATGAGTAAGACACCAGTGCCCATTGATTTAAACTGAAATATCACATTGAAGAGGTATGTGGATGGGAAAGAATGTGCAAGGATAAATCCTTACTGTCAATATTTAATATTGCTATCATGTCAGAGTTGAAATTATAGTACCACGTATAAAGGGTACAGACACTTAGATGTGTATCTAGAGGAGGTTAAAGAGTAGGATAAAAAACAAGAATGTGGGATTAAGAGAAAGCAAAAAAGGAAATGTTGGGATAAATGTCCTCTTTCTTGTCCTAAAAATGTCAGATCTATGTACTAAGTAAAATGAATAAGAAATATACACACACTTTTTAATATCCTCCATATGAAAAAGACCTACAAAATGAAATAGAAATTTAACCAGTAACATTCTAGGAAATTATTCTAAAACTATAGAATCTAGGAGAATGATAACATTTCTATAGCTTGTTTTAAAACTTTATAGAATTTTTATCATATAACTTTCTGTTAAACTCTGTGGGAGATGTAAAAAAAAAACCTATAGAAAGGTTAGCATTGTTGTTTTCATTCTAAGACTTCTCCATAATAGTAATTATTTTGGCCTGTTTGTGATTTTACACCTGTGTAACTCCTTTGACTCTAAATTAATTGATTCTCTTTTTATTGGTTATGTAGCTAAAGTCAGTCAACAATAATCTTCCCATATTTTTTTTAAGGATTTTCACCTTGAAATTCCAGTAAGAATGACTTAATCTGTTGTTGTACAAAGCATTGTTGTTTTTAAAACTGTGAAGTACTTATTGTTAGAGATAGATAAATCAAACTAAATCTTCTCTCATAATATAGATTACATCCAGATGGTGGACTAACATGTACCTTATACAGTAACTATCACCTCTTTATTATGGTAATTTGGGGGGTTTGTTTAGATTTTTTTTTTTTAAGATCTTACTGTACATTACAGAGATCATTTCAATTATCTAGTTATTTCCTCCTTCTCTCCCCCACCCTCACTTAGGGAGTTGTGATTAATGTTTGTAAACTGATGAGACTAAACTTGTTCAGGCAAGGACTGTCATTTGCAACACTGAGCAAAGCAGCCCTTGCAAATAATAATTAATAATGTAACACTTATAAATGCTGAGTATGAATATTAAACTCATTTGTTTTTCATAACGTATAATTGATAAATTTAGCAAATATTCCCAAACTTGATTCTATTTGCCAAAACTAATTGTTTTACACTTGTCCATACTGAACTATGACTGGTAACCCAATCACCTGAAGTATCAGGGGGTAGCCGTGTTAGTCTGTATCTACAAAAACAACAAGGAGTCTGGTGGCACCTTAAAGACTAACAGATTTATTTGGGCATAAGCTTTCATGGGTAAAAACCTCACTTCTTCAGATCACCTGAACAATCCACACTGCTGAATCTAGTTACAAGGGACACAATGCTCCACACCCACACTAAGTGACCGGAAGGGGACAATATATCGATGGCTTTACTGACTTTCTAAATTCACCATAGCAGCATGAAATTGGTAGAAGGCATGACTTACTGAACACGCAGAGACAATCTTCACAGGAAAATCATGTCCAAAACATGGCTCATGCATATGCAGTGTCCCTTCCTCAGATCTATCATACCTACCCCTTGCTGGCAGTACACCTGGCTGCAAGGGTCTCACAAAATACCTATTTCTTTGTGATCCTTATAATGGGGTTCACATGTCATGCATTGCAATTACATACTATATGAAGTGGTATGAAGTGCAATGGTATCCATTTTCTCACATGGGCTGAAGTTTATCCCTATGCAGAGGGCCCACGTGCCACTCAGGTCTCACTTAAGCCCTATTTTGAAGACTTAAATATAGATTTCACTTGTTCAGAGTAAAGTAAATAAAAAGAAAGGAAACTCTTGCAGGAACTGCAGCTCCCAACTTCTAGGCTGGCTCTATGAACAATTAGTACCCAAAATCGAGACACTGTGTTGACAGCTAATTAAAAAACTTAGTTGTTACATACAGTAAATGAAAAAAGTGATCTATAGGTTACTCAGTTTAAATGTTAGCTAGTGATTGCCAATATTATTACTGAGTTCTTTTAAATGGGAATTTGATTGAATAGAAAAATTGCTGCAACTTTTTTCAATTGACTCTAGGAATTCTGAAGTTTTCCCC